ACATTGACATTTTGAAAAAAGTGTTTAATACATATATTTGTATGTATATATGTACAATCATCAGAAATTCAAGTTACAAATGCAGATGATATAAGTGGTGACCAAATATGACAAGCAGAGTTATTGACATGAGTTTTCACAATGAAGAACTCAGTAAAATTCTCAACAAAACAAAGTACACTCTTCCCTCTACTTACATGGTAGCTGCATTACTGGAATCAGCGTATACTAGAACTATGCCCCAGATAGGTTGCGTTTGTAAGTAAATAAGAATTAGGTTCGAGACTCAGCTAATCATTTAAGTTTCACTACTATATGAATGTCCAGTGGGATGTCTTTGTTGTGTAGGACTGGACATGTATAGCAGAAGGATGTTTTAGCCTCCCTGGCTTTCACCTTTCACATCATTGCAATTAAAGATTGCATCTCCATCTATGTGCTAAACAAAAAATTCCCCACAAATTTCCAAAAAAGCCCCTAGGTGGCAATATTATCCCCGTTGTCAATTACTAACCTCTTGGCATAGAATATATACTGTGGTGTAGTCATAACAAGGCCTCATATATAAGAATGAAAACCATCTCAAGTTCTGCTATGATCATCTCATCTTTGAAGGTATAGAAAGCAAGAAACGGAATACTATGCAGAATGATCTCAATTTGCAAGAGTCATATTGAACATCTTGGTTTAAGTATTACAAAAAACATTTAAAATAGAAAATAAATTAGCACTGGTCAGCAAATCTGACCAGAATATTTAGCTTTACTTGTCTAAATATTTTGAGCAGATTAGCTAATATTAGAGTGATCCTTACTTCTCTGAAGAGGTCTTAAAATATAAACCAAGGAGAGATAGGTTCCAACTTTTCCTGTAAAAATCTTGGGGGAAATGAGAAGCTTGCTCTGCTAAAATAAATGGGGTGGGGAGATGTAAACCACTACTTATGAAAGACCTGAGCTCAGCTCCCAGATGGGCATTCAAAATTCACAGTTTACATGATGCCTAAGAATCTACCTTGAACCCAAATACCGTACCTAATAGGCTGAGTTGTAACCACATCCCTAGAGAGAGAATGTTTTTTTGAGGGGAGAGTAACCTACCCCTAGACTTAAGAGTGGAAGAAAGAATTGTACTGGAGTTGAAGCCACTTCATTTCTTGTTCAGAATATACAATAAGCCTATTTCCTTTTTTTCAAGTTTGTATAGTTTTCAACTGAATCCAACATGAGTGGATTATAGAAGACTTCTGATAAATTTATCCTCATATCCACTAAGCAAACTTAGGAGTCATTCTATATAAGGGCATTTAATGGTTAACAAAGCACTTTCATTATTTATTCCTTGAAATCATTTCAATATTACAGAAAAAACAATAAACGAAAATATCAAAAATTTAAAGACAGGGTCTGATGGAAAAGAAAATTTGGTAATACTAATCCTGTCTTTATTTAAAAATCTGATATTTTGCTCATCTTGGGTTTTTAAAGTATACAGCATTAAAATATTATTTGTCTTTATTGAGTTATTTTGTGACACCGCCCCCCAAATTTGTGCAGAGGTAAGTGCTCTTAAGTCCTACCCTCGGTCTTCAGTAATTCTCAAGAATAAACAGAACTTCTTTTCACTGAATAGGGAGCCGAGTACGGGGAGGCCCCAAAGTTTCTATATTTGGAATACTTCTCAAACGTATTATTTCAACAAATAAACAACGTAAAGTACCTGTTAACATACAGCCAAGTGCCTAATGGCATCTCCCCCAATCCTGGGAGGTCAACCACTGCTTTCTGAGCTAAGCGCCAGGTGTGCCAACATGTAAATTCTGCTGCGAAATAGAAATTTAGAGAGAGAAGGTGGTAGTCTCCCCCACAGCAGGCCTGGCCACGCGCAGGCCTTCTTGGCCCTGGGGAAGCAGAGCCCCTGAGACTGGTTAAGAAATTGAATTCTCGAAGGTGAAGAAACAAACTCATCACCCACCGACAGTCAATGGCTGGCCATGGTGCCCGCAATCAGCCCCTCCTGGCCCACCCCTTACTGGGAAGCTGACCCGGCGCAGGAAAGAGGATGGCTCCGCGGCCGCCCATACGCACCCTGCTCGCGGGGAATCCGCACCAAGCAGTCCACTATGCCTTTGTACTGCGTCTCGGGGCTGATTTGCTTGGACGAGGCCTGCACCTGCAGCAGCAGCTTCACCCGCTCGATGGGCGCCACCGCCGTCTTGGACACAGCCGCCGCGACCCCACCCACCAACAGGTCCTTCCCGAAGGACGTGGCGTCAAAGAGCTGCTTTCCCGCCTTCTTCTCCAGCTTCTTTTTCGGGGGGTCACGCTGCATGGTGGGATGACGGATGTAAAAATGGGCAGCAGCAGGTCAAAACGAGCGCAGGAGCGGCGACAAAAGGGAGCAGAAAACCGCTTCAGCGCCGTCGTGGCGGGAAAGTGGCGCTTAGGACGCCGGGAGGTCAGCGCAGCGCGGGGGCAGCTGGGAGCTGCGCAGGCGCGTCCGAGCGCCTCCAACCGCCTCCCGCCTATTTAGTGAGGCCACGTGACTGCCGACACGTGACTGCCGACACGTGGCTCCTCACGCGCGGTTCTACGCTGGCGACTCTCCCTGCCTGGCTTTCCCTGGCTTGGGGCAGGGTCCGGCACCCGTGGCTTCTGAGCCGGGAAGACGCAGGAAGGGACCCAGGTGAGGTAATTCTGTGTTAGGGTAGTTAGCGGCCAAAACTAAAACAGAACAAAACCGAACCTGAGGGATTAACCGAGTTTAGTTTTAGTTTCCAGAGTTATCCTCCCGTTTTCCTTAGAAATTGCTTTAAGCTCTGCTTTTAACAGCAGTCATTTGTCTAGTTACGGTTTTGCCGATTCCTCTCACAACACCCCCGCCTCCCCCCCCCAAATCCAGCATAATTCGACGTTCTCCTTTCTCCTTTATTTTTTTGAAATTGTTAGTTCTGTATAGAGCAGTGATTCTCAGTCTGGACTGCACAGTCAAATGAGACAGTGGCATTTAATTTTGTTTAATGTTTGGGCTTAGGGAATTTTAATGTGTAATTTACCAGTGAGTGACCTTTTCTAGAACAGTGAGTGGTTCACAGACTGTTCTCATTTTAGGACCCCTTTTCACTCTTAAAAATTATTTAAGACCACAAAGAAGCTTCTGTTTTTGTGTTACATATATTGATATTTATTGTTTCAGAAGCTGAAACAATTTTAATATTTATTTAAATACATATTTAAAAATATATTTTCTTAGATGTGAGGATAGCCTTGTTTTATATTTTCGAAAATGTAATGTCCGACTGTATAAAAGACAGCTGGATTTATATAACTGCTTTTCAGTCAGTCTATTGAAATGTCACACATCTTGTAGCCACTGGAAAACTCCACTTTTACTGATAAGGAGAGTAAAACTGGCAGATGATGTCTTAGTATTACTAAGAAAAGTTTTGACCCCATGCAGTCCCAGATGTCTTGGTGACACCTACGGCACTCCCATACCACACTTGTGAGAACTCACCTGAGGCTTATCAGATGACTTTGGGCAAGAATACTCAGTAGATACACATCAGTCTTGCACATCATGTCTGTCTCTTATTTCCTCCCACCTCACTTTTTTCCATTAATATATCCTAGAGGTCTCTCTATAATAGCACAGAATGTATTCCTGATTCCTTTTTATAGCTTGTTTGATGATTTCTAATAAATAGAGATTCCATCTTATACTCAGGACTTGCAGTCTTGAAACATCCATAAATCATGAGTTACTGAATTTTTTGAACTTGAGGTTCTAATTTTTTCTTCATTATCTTAAGCAAATTATAACACTTTTAGTAACTACTTGTCACTAGCAAAAAAAAAAAAAAAATGTAGGCCAGAATTCCAGAGTAGGAATTTTGTTAATATTTTGATTACTTCACAAAAAACAAGTAGTCATGGTGTTTTGGGTTCCTTTCTTTCCATACAGGATTATTTGACTATTAATTGATTTTTCAGCCTGAGTCTCTCTCCATTTTACATGCTACCACCGGATTAATTTTTCTGAAGCAACTATATTAATCATTCCTAGGCTTAAAAAAGTTAAAGTCACCTTATTGCATTGACTTCAGAATCCTTTGTGAAATCCATTGCAAATTCAAGAAACTATTGGTGTTTTATCTGAAAAAATCTGAAAAATAAAGGGTTTCCATCTCCTTTAAGGGAATTTGAAGCATTAGCACATAGGGAGAAAGTTAACGGGTGATTACTTGAACCACACTCTCAAGTGCCAAGAGAAGTCAAAGAAAACATCTAGTCATAGGGAAGATAAGTAAAGTATCTAAGAGGACATAAAAGCAAGTGTTCTGCTGCCCAGGGCAATGTTCTCTTCTTTTCTTGCCTCTTCTTCCCTTAAGCCCCACATTTGACTCTGTAATTGACAGTGTTTTTAATGTATTCTTTTCTGATATTCTCATGCTTATTTCTGACATGTATTCACTGATTGAAGACAGCAAATGTGAAAGTGTTTAGAAATGTAGCTTGTTTTCCCCCTCATGAGAGCTTTGAATCTGCTCTTTTCAATAAACTGAGGTGAAAGTGTTTATTTAAACTTGCTGCATTGCATTTTATTTACTGATTTAGAAACACAAAAAGCCCTCGTGATTTATATGTCAATATTAAAAGCATAGAGTCTCAGGGCCTTCGTGTTGTTCATTCTGCTTTCCTTAGAAATCAGTTTCCTTACTTATTTCAGGTCTGGGTCACCTGAGCAACCCTTTCCCTGGCCACGCTTTCTCCCACACTCCATTTCCCACTTTCTTCATTTTTTTACTCTTGGCTGTTATCAACCTATTTTACTTGTTTGTCTTATTTATGGGCTCTCCCACTAGACCATAAGCTCTGTGAGGGCAGGGAATTTTAGCTGTTATGTTCAGTGCTATATCCCCAGCATCTAAAACAATGCTTGGCACAGAATAGAAATTCAATAAATAAATTTTGGACGAATGCACGAAAAGGAAACACAACTTCAAACAAACCTCCAAACCATCTTTATTAAAATCTATCAATATAGTATAAAAATAGCTTCAATTATGTAGAGTATAGAAATATAGCTCTACAAAATTATTTCCACACAGTTTAGTGTACAGATTAAAGTCTTAATAACATTTAAACATATCCAAGTATAAATCCTTGTTTTCAAAGTGTTTAGTGCTGACTACTTTCCCTCGGCTGCTTTCCAACATTTTGTACACTAGCAGGTATGATTTAGCTGACTCCTTGGTTTTCAGTCAGTGGATATTTAGTAGTAATATTAGTGGTATCCTTAACACTTTTATAGCACATAACATGTGCCAGGCACTATTTAGAGAGAACGCACACAGTTATTCACAATATTATTTTCCAGAATGTTCAAAGCAGACAAACCTAGTAAATTGTTTCACAGGTTTTCCCATTTGTATTAGAAATACAAAAAAGCAGACACTGCATATTTACTATTGTGCCTATACAGATGATACGACATCATCAACAGTCTCTTGGCATAAATAAGAAACTCTCCCTTGTAAGTGCAGTTTTCTAACCCCACAAAGCAAAAACCAAGCAAGCAACCAACCAAAAAAACAAACAAACAAACCAATGAGAGCTAAAGAAAGGGGAGGGAGGTAGGAGAGGGCATAGAATTTAAAATGGAATTTTGGGGGGCTAAAACATGATGGTGGTAAGGCAGTACTTGATATATTTTTTTAAATGGTGGTTATATAATCTTTTGCATTAATTTTCTTTGGTGAAAGAGACCATTTGAAGGATGCTAACAAAATCCAACTTAAAAATGTTTCTATACCTGCTAAAGAGTATACCTCTGGGGTGTCTGCACTGTTACTTTGTCCCCTTTATTTTATAAAGTGACAGGCACTTACTAGAATCAGACTGCTCTACTTTTAGATGTGAATCTAAACATATTTGGAAAAATGAGCTGCTAAGCTTACTTACGATGTTTACTTCAGTATCCATCTCGAGATGAAAACCAAGGTGATGTTTGGTTTTATCTCTTAAAAAAACAATATCTCTCTGCAACATGGGCATTACCGTATACACCTACAATATAGCTAATGATTTACCCTTATTAAGATCAGTATTGTCTGCTTTGTTTCAGTTATTGAGTGGTGGCCTCATGATTCTTTGACACCAGGAAAACAGTTCAACAGACTAAAATTTCATTAAATGAAACAAAAAGTCTGCTATGATAAAACCCCAAGTTTTCAGTCTGTTTGAAACTCTGAGATGACCAATAGCTGCATTTATTAATAATTCTGTTTAAAATAGCTCATGGTGTTTTGGGGGACATATAAAGAAATGTGTAAGACATTTCATAAATACTTTTAAACAAAGTGCCTTAATACCCATGATACCAGAATGCCCTGAGCTCAGAGGTACAAAGACTTGCTCATGGTCACAGCACTAATTAGTTATAGGACCTTATTTTGTCCTCCTAGTTTCATGATTTTTTCACTAGATATCAATATTAGTCTTGAGAAAAATACACAATGAATTGGGTATTTTTCCAAGATAAATAGTTCCTATATTGTGTATAAAACAGTTCACATTATTTCAAACTAGTCAATAAATTAATATTATATACAGAAATGGAAGGAAGTTAACAATTCATATTTTGATCAAGTATTTTTTCATAAGTCTCACAATACTACGTAAGATCTAGTGCATCAAATCCAACAGCATGTCATTTTGATACTTAACATTATGCTCAATATTGAACAGTGAAAAGAAGCTAAACCTTATCTTTTGTGTGTGGATTTTGGCAATCCTCATACTGTTCAGTGCTCCATGCAGATTTCTTGCTGTGCAGCAAGAAAACATGGTTACAGGGTTAATCCAAAGAACATTTTAAAGGCCATTTCGATGGCAACTTCTGTGACTGAGTCATGAAAACAAACATAAAGTTCTTGAACTTTGGGATGAAGAAAGAGTCTCCTGTAGAAGAAAACAACACACTCATTTTAGAAATCCATAAAAAAAGGAAAAAATTTTCAAAAATCTAGACATCTATATTATATTGAATTATATGTTCATATAATTCAAAATTTCAATTCATTTTATTTTTCTTCTGAAATAATTGGTAGTAAATTAAAGAAAAAACAACTTATAGTAGGGAAAATGCAGCTGATTTACTTTTAATTAAGTAATATGTGCCTTAGGTCAATTATTTCTATTTTTCCAGAGTGTAAAAAAGCTTATTCTATCAATACGTATCACCATACCCCTCAGTTTTTAAATATTAAGTTTAACCATTTTTATTAGGGTAATGCCAACGGTGTTACCATCATTTTAAGTACAATAATTATTAAACATTGTCATTTACTTTTTAAATGTTAATTATTATTAAAACATTGAGTTTATGATAGTTCTTTTTGCAAGTGGTACTGAATAGGGATTAACATTGAAACTTTATTTAGTTTTTTTAAAGAGTTATAATCATCCAGTGCCGCAGCTCTGATCATATTACACTGAGTTGAGCTTATGTTGATGCTCCCAAATGTGGTTCATTACACATTAGAATCACAAGGGAGCTTACTGGGATGGGGCACAGGCATCTCTGATTTTAACAAATGACCCAGGTGACTCTAAATCATATGGACCAGCACACAGGAATTACTGCTTTGGATAGCATTTGTAAAGCGTTTGTCATACAGTTGAGTACTACATGGCAGGTGTCCAGTAAGTAACATTAGCTTCACCTAACTCTGTGCACCTTCCACCACCATGTCTTTACCCCAACTCAAAGATCCTTCAGTGGCTCAGTATTTCCCTCAAAATTCAATTCTTTAGTCAAGAATTGAAAGTTCCCTGCAGTGGTCCCAACTTAGCTTTCCAGCTTGATCTTTTTCGCTTTATCTTTGTATATGTCATTCCTTTACCATACTGGCAAACCAGTTTATTCAGTGCTGTCTATGCTTTGTTTCGCTCTTTGTTCATCCCATCCTTTTCCTAGAATGTTCTATCCAAATCCAATTCATTTTCCAAACCAGATCAAATGGAATCCCTAAGCCTTTCTTTGTAATCCCAGCTTATACTTTTCCCCCCTCCTTCTATATTCCCACAGCATTTGGTTATACCAACTAATTTATTATATACATGTCTATCTAGATATCTGTCTATATCCATGTTATATATAGATACTTGAGCATATTTCATATGTCTTCTGCTAGATATAAGACAAGTAGATGCAATGACTGTGATATTATGTTTCCCATACCACCCACCTCCCACCACGTCTTTTCAAGCACAGCTCCATTTATTATATATTTATCAAGTGACTATATGCTAGGTGCCAATGGTGGACAAGACAAATGTGATTCTTGACCACATAAAGCCAAATTCTAGTCAGGGGGATAAAGACCATAAACAAACAAGAAAATAATAAAGGAGTGATATAATAGAGAATAACTGAGTAGCCACTTTAATGTGAGAAAGAGATCACGGATCCTCTCTTTGCAGAGATGACCTGTTAGCACCAGTCTGAATATGAAGGAGCCAGAAGTGCAAAGGTTAAGAATCAGAACATCCCACACAGAAGGAGTAGCAGGAACAAGGTTCAGTTGGTGCCAATGCTGCTGTGCACACTGGATGGAGGAGGACAGCGACAGGAAGTAGAAACAGAGGTGGGCAGGAGCCAGGTTGGGCACGTTCTTGTAGTCCATGGGTGAGGGGAAGAGAGGAAGAGAAGGAAATAGGGACAGAAGGACAGAAATAGCAGTAAAATTTTAAAGTACTACTTTTTAGTTTATTATTATAATGTTATAAGATTATAAAACTGAATAAGCATTTTGTTTTTAATAGAAAAAGACGGGAGAAATTTAAAGGAGGTACTTAGCAAATAAAACTCTAAAATATATTAAAATATTATAGTTAGATTACTAATTGCATGCCTACATCTTAAAACTTTATCTCCTTTACTACTTTTCTTTCACTTTTCTAACATTTTACTTCACTTACAAATACTTTTTTTTTCCACTTACCCTACTACCCAGTAAGCCATAACTGGTGGTGCTTTTCTCTGATCAGTCCAGTTTTCAGGTGAGCATTCAAACAACACACCATGTTCTTTCACAGGGTTTAGAGAAGACACTGAATTTGTAGAACCAGAATGATCTCCAACATTTAATGCTTTCTTTTTCTGTATATTAATATGGATTATTAGTATTAACTGGTATTAATAATGTTATTTTAAAATGTTTTCACATACAGATCTAAATTGGCTGATGCTAATTCTTTTTTTCTTAAAAAAAGGATTTCTCAATTAGAGTTGACATTCACTGTTACTTTATATTTCAGGTGTACAGCGTAATGGTTAGACATTTACATAATTTACAAAGTGATCCCCCTGATTAGTCCAGTACCCATCCAGCACTATATATGGTTATTACAATATTATTGACTATATGGCTGATCCTAATTCTTAAGTTCTGGCAATGACATTCTTCCCCTTACCTGCGGGAAAAGTTCTACTCTTCCTCATACTTACTATCAATAACCATCTCCTAAAAGAGACTTCATAGATAAAGTGTCCCTGGACTCCCAGGGAATGTTTTGTTCACAGCTCTATATTACTATTATTTACATTACATTAGCAGTTCATAGGTATGTCTTCCCCGGTACATTAAAGCCCTTTTCCAGGGCTGAAACAATATACTATTCATCACTGTATTATTTTAAAGCAGCAGGGCCTGGTACACAGTAGATACCTAATGAATAGATTACTAAGTGAATACATGCTTTTGTAATTTACTTAAAACCCATATACTTAAAGCAGTATTGTCTCTTTCTCTGATGCATACTCTATTTCCCATTGATTAAATCATTAACAAAACAATGACTTACTTGTTGATTGTCCTGTAATTTAGAGTTGTAATTTTAATGTGGTCATGGGAGGAGGCAAGCACAGCATTTATCTACTCCATCTTGCCCAGATCCTCCCCAAACAATGACTTATTGGAATATAAAGATTTTTTTGCAAGACTCAGGCCAAAACGGAGTGGTCCTTGATTCTTCTCTTTCTGTCATAATCCTTATCTAATCCATCAACAAACCCTTTTGGCTTGCCATTCAAAATATATCCATAATCGAAAAGCCACTATCATTTCTTGCTTTGAGAATTTCTATAGCCCCCTAACTGGTCCCTGCCTCCACTCTTGCCACCTTATAGCACCTGTTCTTCTCTCGGCAGTCTGAGTGACCCTTTCATGTCCCTATTCTGCTCAGAACTGTCCCAGAACCCCCCCATCTCCTTCAGAACAAAGCCCAAAGTCCTTAAGTCTATCAGGCCATGTGTGATCTGGCCCTGCTACCTTTGCCTCCTCATTTCCTACCACTCTCCTGCCCACTCAGCCACTCTGACCTCTGTGGCTTTGCACCTGCTGTTCCCTCTATCTAGAACCTCTGACTTCAGATTTGCTGCATGGCTTGCTCCCTCACTTCATTCAGATCTCTGTTCAAATGTTATTTGACATGATCAAAGGGATCTTTTGAAATATTAACCTCCACTTTCACCTTTACCCTGTTTTATTATTCCTTTTGAAATGTATCCTATTTGACATATGATACTACTTGCTAATTTATTCGTTGCCCCTATTAGAATATAGGCTTCATGAGGAAAGGGACTTTGTTTTGTTCACTGTTGTATCACCAGCACCTAGAATAGTGTCTGGTGAATGGTGGGTACCTCATTTTTAAAATAATAGGGTGAAGGCTAATTACTAAATATTACTGAATAAGCTAATGAAATATTCCCTTATAGAATCTATCAGTTACATTAAATAGGAAAGGAGGAACATAAGAATGCAAAGCTCATAGGGATATAGGGTCAAGCATAACATTCTGCTGAGTACCAATTTCTGATAGCTTGAAGAAGACAGCCTATAAGACAGAATTTTGCTACTGAATAAGTCCTCAGTGACTATATAATTTATATAATTACATAAAATTTCCTCAGCCCACTTACTTTATAGCTGAGGAAATAGGAAGAATCAAAGGGACCATCCAGGATTCCTACACCCAGCAGCCCAATGTTCTTCCACCATTAAACCCATTTCTTCACAAATTTAGATCCTTAACATACATAGTGCTATATAGATTATAATCATCTTCAGAGTGTTTTTTTGTGGGGGGAGGGTATATCACGAGTAAACATCTTTATGTTTATCCTCTTCTAGGAATTAACACTTATCTTTCCCTGCCATTAAAACAATCTAGCTAATATCTTAATTGTATACAAATAACATTACTACTTATCCAGAAGGTACAATATTAAATGAAACTTAATTCTAGATGGAAAACCAACCAACTATTTGCAATAGTATGTGTCTCTTGCTGTACTTTACTCCATTATGTTCCAAAATATTGTATACTGCTGGTTGAATACTTAAGAATTATCAGTTACGAACTCATAGATATCCTGTCCAAGTAAAGGTTGAGTCACAGATGCCAAATATGGAAGGCTAATTTACATTATAAGCTACTATATTCTATTTGCTATAGAAAAAACACAGGTCCACCACTTCCCGAAATAGTAACCTAGGATAAAACTCAATATTATAAAACAAAGCTCTGAAGTTAAGTACTGAGAGTGTAATGCTTTTGCCATTCACGTTAGATTGAGTGTCTGTTAAAATAAAAGTGAAAACAGTCATTACTAGACATATTGATTACAGATCTTTTAGAATATTTAGAGATGTGGAAAAGAAGCTGGCAGAAAACTATATAACAGTGCCCTACCTCTTCCATCAAGGTCTGTTGGAAAACTGCACGGATGGAGAGACAACACTGATGGAAATTCTTTATCAGCTGCGGGTGGATAGAGCCGCCTAGCTGGGCCACCTCTTCATGGGTAGGAGTAATAAAGATCCCTTGCACCGTTTCTAGGGCAACATAGTGGAAAAGTGTGTTCTCAGGACCAGATGTCAATCTTGAAAAGAAAAAAGGATATTTAAGTAAACTTAAAAATATTGCTTCACATGGCATAGGGAAATAGCCGTATGAAGTTAGCATTATGTAATGGCTAGGTGGAGAGCCAGAGGAGAGAAAGAGTAATTAGGGGGATCGTTTTATAAACTATGTAAATGTCTAACCAATGTACTGTATACCTGAAAGTAAAAATAAAATTTAAAAAAAGTTAAAGTAAAAAAAAATATGTTGCTTCATTTTGAATTGTGTAGACTCCTAATAAGTTTTTATCTACAATATAATATTAGGAGTGAAATTAGGGGAGGGAAAGTAGGCCAGACTTTGAATTCCCTCATTTAATTTCCTCTTCCTCCTTAACTGAAGTGCAGGCTAAGGTTATTATCAAGTTCCTTAATGGAGGCAAGCATTACATGTTAGGCAAGGATAAACAAAAACCAATTCATTTGCAGGTAACTTAATCGTCCCTTTGCTAAACAACCCAAATTGGCTAACTCTCCCTTTTTCCATGTTGGTAATGAATAACTCAGCTAATGTCTGCCCCAGATATCTACAAGCCATAAACATGATATCAGTCTCAGGTGGACCACATATAAAAACACCTTCCAACAAAGTAAACACATTTCAATTGGTAGCATGAAGGTCTTTTACCATGATAGTCAAACTGATGATCCTCAAAGAAACTTGTTATTATCAACTGCAAAGCTGGGTTAATACTCTAGAATACCATGGCAATTACTAGTAGTATTCTATTTCTTATTATAGTCTTCCTTCTATGTTCTCATAATACTTCCATTTCTCCATTCTTCATCC